ACTGAGTACCAGCATGTAGGGTGGACAGGGTCCTTGGGCACAGGAACAGGGCCTGCTGTCCCTATGTCCTCTACCCTGGCACCCTGAGGACACCCTCCCACAGTGCTGTCTGTCTGTGTGCCAGGGACCAACATCAACGATGGGCTGCTGAGGGGCATCAGCATGCTGAACAACGCCCGGGAGGAGCACATAGTCCCAGAGAGGAGCACCTCCATCGTCATCATGTTGACAGACGGGGATGCCAACACAGGTGAGGCAGTGGGTATGGCTCTGAATCCCAGCTTGTAGCCAGTCTGCTGCAAGATCTTGGGCAGCTCTCCCCAGGGTCCCCCATGGTCTGTGAGCCCCTCAAGGGCAGGACCCTGCTTCCTGCCAGGGCTCCTCCCAATCCCCCCATCTCAACACAGGCTTGTGGCCATGACTCCACCAGCTCTATATGTGTGGGTGTCAGATCTCTCCAGACAGAGCTGGTCCAGACAGTCACCAGGGCTGTGACTGGAGAGCAAACACCTTCTCCTGCAGGTGAAAGCAGACCTGAAAAAATCCAAGAGAATGTGCGGAATGCTATTAGGGGCAAGTTCCCCTTGTATAACCTGGGCTTTGGGAACAATCTGAATTACAACTTCCTGGAGAGTATGGCCTTGGAGAACCATGGGCTTGCCCGGCGCATTTATGAGGATTCCGATGCCAACTTGCAGTTACAGGTATGCCTTGTCTTGTATACCTCTGGGAATGAAGAGCTCATTACTTCCTCAGGAAGTGGTCCACTGAGTGAGAATTTCAGTTATTAGAAAGAACTTCCTTTTGGGTTGAAATCTACCTCTGGTTACCTCTTTCCCATCAGTACTACTTAATTTTGTGCACCCACTTCCAGTGGGTACCCAGAACAGACCTACTTCCTCCATACAATTCCCAGATCAAATACAAGACATCCAGTTAAATATGAATTTCTCATCAACAGTCAATAGTTTTTCAGTAAGCACGCTCCAAATATTGTACAGGAAACTGTCTTAGTTTGCTAGGGCTGCTGTAACAAATTAGCATAAACTGGTGGCTTACGCAACAGAAATGTATTGTCTCACAGTTCTGGAGGCTAGAAGTCCAAAATCAAGGTGTTGGCAGGGTTGGCTCCTTCTGAGAGCTGTGAGGGGAGGATCTGCTCCAGCCTCTTTCCTTGGCCTGTAGACACCCATTTTCTCCTTGTCTCTTCACATCATCTTCCCTGTGTGTGTGTCTGTCTCTGGGTCCAAACATTCCCTTTTCATAAGGACATCAGTCATGTTGGATTGGGGTCCATCCCAAAGACCTCATTTTAACTCATTTACCTCTGTAAAGACCCTATCCCCAAATAAGGTCATGCCCTGAGGTACTGGAGGTAAGGATTTTAATCTATGTATTTTGGGGGTGCACAATTCACCCCATAATAGACGTACTTATACTCAAAAGTAACTTGTCATTTACCTGACATTCAAATTTAACACATGTCCTGTATTTTCATTTGCTAAGTCTGGCAACCCCATGCCTCCCTGGTGCAGATGACCACTCTTCGCCTCTGCAGTGGACCCCCGGCCTCCCTCCCATCGGTCTCTGGGTCTCACACTCTAGCTCTACATCGCCTCTAGTCGGCCTCTCCGCTCATCCTTCTTTCCTTCTATTTTCATTCCAACAAACATTTCTTGAGTCCTTTCTATGTGCCAAGAACTGTCCTTTCCTCTTTTATTCTTCCCAGTCTCTACCTGAGGTGGGGGGCAGGAAGGGCTCCCCCAAACTGAAGGGCACAGTCTGGGCCACATGAAAGTGGAGACCAGAAGCCAGGACCGGCCCAGCCTGGGGGACTCAACAACTCACGGAGGCACCAGTGGGAGCCTGCCCAGCCCCTCTACTCCATGCCAGCCCTGGTGGCCTGATATTACTGCATCCCCTATCTGGACTCCAGGGCTTCTATGAGGAGGTGGCCAACCCGCTACTGACGGATGTGGAGGTAGAATACCCCGAGAATGCCATCCAGGACCTCACCCAGAATACTTACCAGCACTTCTACGACGGCTCTGAGATTGTGGTGGCTGGGCGCCTGGCAGATAAGGACATAAACAACTTTAAGGCGGATGTGAAGGGCTACGGGGTAAGCTGGTCTGGGGCCTGATTGTGTGCTGAGGGTGGGAGATCCACACCAATGGGGCTCCGGCCTCCTGGGTGATGGTCCAGCAGTAGCAGCCCTGGAACCAGGACCAGCTGGCTCCAAACTTCCAGCCTCCCTCCTCCTCCTTCCTCCGCCCCAGGCCATCAATGACCTGACCTTCACTGAGGAGGTGGACATGAAGGAGATGGAGAAGGCCCTGCAGGAGAGGGACTACATTTTCGGAGACTACATTGAGCGGCTCTGGGCCTACCTCACCATCAAGCAGCTGCTGGAGAAACGGTGACCCTGGCCCACCCCTCACATAGCCTACCTGTGCCTACCTGTTTTGCCTATGCTCTGGGGGAGCCCAAGAGGAGGAAACTGGGTCACGCCCTGGGAAGTGCACCTCCACACCCACTGCCAGCTGCCCTGCCCTCTTCGTGGCCTGGCCCCATGGCCTATTTTTCTAGAAGCAGAGCCTAGCTTGTCATCTGGGGCTCAAGGGGCAGGCTGGGAGCACCTCAAAGGCAGGGGTGGGCCTCAGCATCCTGTTTCCTGCACCCAGCACGGGCACACAGAGATGGTGAGGCTGAACAGAACTGAAGGCTGGGAACTCAGCCCTCAGCCCCAGAGGGCAGAGCTTGCAACCATGCAAGAGGGCTGTGCAGCCTTCTGTCCGTGGGATTAGCCTGGAAAGCCCCTGGCACAGGGTTGGGAACAGCTGAGCACTGTTCGCATATGAACACCGTCATGGCTGATTGTTCTAGTGGCCATTTCAAGCCCCTGATATTTTACAGCTGGGGAAATTGAGGCCCAGGGAGGAAACAGGGTCTGTCCATCTGTCCCAGGGAGATGGTGAACCAGTTTTTTCTGAATGCTTGTGGCCTCCATCCTGGGGGCCCCCACATTGGGAGAGGTGGAGGGGTCCTGGGCTGCCTCTGTGGCTCCTGGTCTGTGGCTCCAAGCCACAGTACAGGAAGGCAAGTGGGAGCTGCTCTCCAGGCTGACCCTCCCACTCCACCCCTTCCCACAGCAAGAATGCCCATGGCAAGGAAAAGGAGAACCTCACAGCCCAGGCCCTGGCCCTGTCCCTCAAGTACCACTTTGTGACTCCACTGACCTCCATGGTGGTGACCAAGCCTGAGGACAATGAGAACCAGATGGACATTGCCAACAAGCCCGGGGAAGGTGGGCATGGAGAGCAGGGGCCAGAACTCAGAGGCCTTCTTCCAGGACTCAGGCCTCAAGCGCCTTGAGAATAGGGCCAGGCTGAGAAGACCAGACTGGCTGAGAGGGACAGGTCGAGGGGGCATCAAAAGAAAACTGGCCAAAGGCTGGGTAGGGCACTGTGGAGGGAGTGAAGCTGCTAGCATGGACAGTGGGGTATGGGAGTGAATAGGAACCTCTGAGTCTCTAAAGGGGCACACTGCCCAGGGTCATTTCCAGGAAGAGGACTTAGGTTGCAGCATGGAAGGGTTTAGTTAGATAAGAAGAAACACTTCCAGCCTGAAAGTTAGGCCTGGAGCAGGCACCTAGGGATTGTGAGAGGAAAAGACCCTGAGAGCTGGAGGCTGGGACCAGGCCCTTTCAATCAGATCCTAAGAGAGGAGTCCTGAGTGTCCTTGCAATGGGCGTCAGGGGTGGGGTGCAGCACTGGGAGGTATAGGGGTAAAGAGCTGGTCTTGGCCAGGCCTCTGCCTCCAGGAGCTCCTGGTTCTTGTGGGGGCCAGGTGGTCAGTCAGTCACACTCACCTTGACACCAGGAGTCTGTGGCTTCTAATGCATTTCTCTTCTTCCTTCCTCGTAGGACCTATGGATGCAGGAGGTGAGCTTCAGTCATCAGTTGGGTCGGCGTCCCAGGAGGGAGACACGAGAGGACTAAGGAGGCCTTTCCAAGCACACCTGGGGATGTGCCACCCGGGGAGGGCTCTCAGGACACCTGGGCTCAGGCCCCAGCTCTGCTGCCAAACTCTGGCTGGGCTCTGTTGCGCTCTGAGTCTCAGGGTTCTCGTCAGTTGACTGAGGGTGGCTTCCCCTGCCCAAGGAGGGACAATCAATATGAGAGTATTCCATGACCTGCAAAAATTAGCAACTCAATTAATTAGCACTTGATTAATCCCACAGCAACCCTTAGAGGGTATCCTCTTACGGTTCCCATTTTACAGTGAGGAAACTGAGGCAGCAAGGTTAAGTCTGTTTGCTCAAGGACTTGTCAGCTGGTGGCCAAGCCGGGACCTTGGCCCAGGCAGCCTGGTTCCAGGGCTTGGGCTGGAATTCACAGCACTCCGGGTTTCTCTTATCGTAAAATTAGAACCTCACGCCCCACAAGCCTACCACCACCATGCAAGGCTTCCCAACCCTTTCCTACCATACCCACCTCAATCCATACAGGCTGCTCTATCCAAGCAGCACGTTTGGACTCGGTTATGGCTTTCCCCTCAGAACAGCCCTGCGACGTGTAGTCGCCGGTGCGCATGTGCGTGCGTGAGTGTGCGTGTGGGCGGGCGTTTTACTACCAAGGACTACAGACAGCTGTGAGGCTCCTCCCACCCAGCCAAGGGGCGGGAGTTCAGGAGTGGGGGGCGGCGTCTGCTGTGAGCATTGCTCACGACAGAGAAGCTGATGACCTAATGGCTTGCGTTTAAGCACATCAAAATGCTGAGACCCTGGCATGAACATTACAACCATGTTACTACCAGCCCTAGAAAGGAGTTCCCTGGGCATGCCCCATTGCTAAAGCCTAAACTTAGGGGTCACATCCCTGCCTTGTATCAGCATTGGGGTCCCACTGGGGACACATAGCCCTAAGTCAGGCAGGAGGCATGGGATTGTAAGGGGGAAGGACCCCCTAGATTCTGCTCACAACTGCCCTTTGGCTTCTTTTTCAGTGATCCCCTCCATGGCTTACCAGAGTGAGTATCAGCTGGCTGCCCACCATTCCCTCTGGAGTCTTTCCTGAATCAGCTCACTGGGTCAGGCAGATGATTGGGGTACTGAGGAAATGGGGGGTGGGGTGGGTTAAGAGCATTAAGGAGAGGGAGGGGGAGAGGCATGAACCAAACTCTGGCTGGGGAACTTAGTGCCTCCCCAGGTCTGCTTATGGGCTCAGCCCTCTTTCCCTTTGTGTCCACAGCCAGCTACCAGCCTCCTCAGACACCCTACTATTATGGTGAGTTCTCTGGCTCCTCCTGGGGGGAGGCTCAGGATGCAGGGCTCAGGGCCTCCTGCCTGTCTAGGAGGCCATCCCACAGGGGCCAGGAGGCAAGGGGAGGCCCCTGGAACAGTGAGAGACCCCGAGAACCAGCCCCTTCTCTATGTGCCCTCAGTGGATGGGGATCCCCACTTCATCATCCAAGTTCCAGAGAAGGACGATGCCATCTGCTTCAACATTGATGAAGGCCCAGGCACAGTGCTGCGCCTCATTCAGGACCCTGTCATAGGTAGGGCTGCAGGATGGGGCCAGGGGCTCTTCCTGGGAAGGCCTGGAGCCCCCCACGGTAGGCACATGGACCAGCTCATCACGAGGCCCATAATGTACCCATCTTTATGTGCAGATTACATCCTGCAGGGGGCTGTCCAGGGCTACAGGCTCACCAAGTCCCCAGGGGCCAGCAGTGTTGGGGAGATGGTTAGAGTCAAGAGTGGCCTGAGCCTGCAGGCAAGACCCAGCCTGTGTCTGGGGAATAGTTTTTCTCTGAGCAACACTCCCTGGCTCAGGCAAGAGGCAGATCCACAATGTGAGCCCTCAGCTTCCAGCATGACCCCAAAGTGTCTAGGAACAGACAGGGTTGGCTCTGAAGTCCTGGTCTCTCCCTGGGGGCCCCACTGTGCTATCCCTTAGTAGGTCTGGCTGAAAGGGAAGGTGCGTCCCTAAATACCAGGCTGGATTCTGAAGGTATTGCTGGTCTCTTGCTGCCCTGTCCCTCTGGCAGGCATCACAGTTAATGGGCAGATTATTGGTGAGAAGAGAGACAGCCTGGACTCCCAGACCAGAAAGACTTACTTTGGCAAACTGGGCATTGCCAGCACTCAGATGGACTTCCGCATTGAGGTGACACCGGCAAAGATCACGCTGTGGAACGGGGTGGCACAGAGCACGTTCAGCTGGCTGGACACAGTCGAAGTCACACAGGATGGGTAAAGCCCTGCCGCGGGGTCTCTGGGGGGCACGACAGTGCAAGGGTCTAAGGAGCAATTTGAACAAACCCCAGGACAGGAGTCACAGGGGTCACAGGAAAGATCAGTGGCCTCAGAAGTCAGCCCTAACCAATCCGTGGGGCCCCCATCAGAGGCAGAATTGGGAGCTGGACAGTTCATAGGACTGACCTTGAGGGAAGGGCTGTGTGGATGAAAGCATTAAATGGACCTGGCAATCTAATAATGAGAAGTCCCACACACAGTGTCTCTGGATAAACTTGCTGGTTCTCAAACTCCTCAGCCTCTCCTGTGTCTTCAGATCACCCCAACCAGGTAGGCAGTGTAGGAGTGTTAGTTCCGCTGAGGCTAAGGGAGGGGTAGAACCTGCTCAGTGTCACACAGGAAGCCAGTGGCTGAGCTGGGGCTCGAGCCAAGATCTCCAGACCCCTAGGACAGCCCACCCTCCTGCTTATGGAGAGAGGAGCAGGGACTCACTCAGTGGAGGGCAGAGTCAACACACATGAGGCATCTTTTCTTCAAAACCCTTGACATAGTTTCTGGAGTCTGAGTGCTCCCAGGCGTCATGTCCTGGTGTCATGTCTCCTGCCGAGATGCCCTTGATTCAGATGCCTGGAGTCATGGCCACTGGGCCCCACTGCTGACCTCCTCTTCTCTTCTAGGCTGTCTGTGACGATCAACAGGAAGAAGAACATAGTGGTCTCCTTTGGAGATGGGGTTACCTTTGTGGTCGTCCTGCACCAGGTGTGGAAGAAGGAGCCCGTCCACCAAGACTTCCTGGGCTTCTATGTGGTGGACAGTCGCCGGATGTCAGCACAGACACATGGGCTGCTGGGTACGAAATGTTCAAGCTTCAGTTGTTCAGGCCACATGGTGGAGGGGAAGAGCCACGTGAAGAACCATCTGAGTCAACCCCATTCAGCCTTTGCATCAATCCTGGAAGGCCAGTGGCCACATCGCCTATGGCGATGGCAAGGCTGACAGGGTGAATGTTTTTATTTCCAGGACAATTCTTCCACCCCTTTGACTTTGAAGTGTCTGACATCCACCCAGGCTCTGACCCCACAAAGCCAGAAGCCACAATGGTGGTGAAGAACCATCGGCTGACCGTCACCAGGTGAGGGGACTCCGCTGACATCCTCACCCTGCCTGGTAACAATATAGGAGGAAGGAGCCCTCTCCAACCACGCTTATCAGCCCAGCTGGCTCCTGTCCTCTGTGGGGTACCTCTGTTTCCCTCTGGGGTCTTGGCCCCTTCTAATTAGGGAGAAGCTGTATTTGGAACCCTAGGAGGAGTAACCACATGACCTCATTCTTGACCAGAGTCTGGACTCCTAGAACCGGCAACTTCACGCCCGTTTCCACCTTAGGTCCGTGAGTGCAGCAGCTGTCTTGCCCATCCTGTGTATCACAGCATCTCTCTCCTTTCTCCAGGGGCTCCCAGAAAGACTACAGGAAGGACATCAGTGTTGGCACAAAGGTTGCCTGCTGGTTCGTCCACAACAATGGGCAAGGGCTGATCGACGGTGTCCACAGCGACTACATTGTCCCTGACCTGTTCTGAGTGGACATGCCAGCTCCTGCTGAGATGGCTGGCCCAGCCTGGCTGGCCTCTGGAACAGGGGCACAGAGTGGGGCCTGAGGGAGTGCTGAGACAATAAAGACCAAGGTGAAACCAGACTGCCACCAGCCTCTGCGTGCCTCCATGAGCCCCTGCTCCAGGGGACAAGCAGCTCGAAGGAGGGCCTGGCTGCTAGAAAGGCAACTTCCCAGGCCTCTCCACCGATGTGGCTGAAAGATGGTGTTGGTTGGGGTGGTACTATGGGGAGTCAAACATATGATGGCTGGGAAAGGAAAAAATCAAGAGTTGACGCAGGAGAAAAGGTGCCTGAGAAGTCGGGAAGGACTGACTGCATTTCAGAGTTCAGGAGGGTCAGAGGTGAAGTCAGGGGTCATGGCTCACCAGCTCCTATCAAGACCTTCAGGCCTGAATATCCTTCTATGACTCAGGAGCAGAGAGAGCCCTAGGGCAGACCCAGCCTGCAGCTAATTACGCAGGCCACCCATCCCTCCACCCTCTAATCATCTGGCATCCACTGGCCCACTCATCCACCCATCTGTCCACCCACCCTATGCGAGCCATCCACTCAGCAGGTAAAGCCAACATTCTGGGCTAGGATCTGGGGGCACACGGCTTAGTAACCCAGTTTGTTTCCATGGGTGCCCAAGTTTGCCTTCAGCTGGGCTGGATATCCCTGGGATCCTCCAGTTTCCTCCTCATGGTGACCACCTGCTCCCCCACCAACAATAAGTCCTGGGTCGGGTGGGAGGTCGGACAGAGGTTCCAGGTCAGCCTGGACAACCCTCTCCCAACCAGACAACTGCAACCACTCCTCCGTGGCCTCCCCGCTTCCAGAGAGAGCCTTTTGCAGAGCAGAACTGATCATCACTCCCTGCCTGAAACTCTACAAATGACATCTCCCACCCAGGGCTCTTGGGACAGAGACAGAAGTCCTTTCTCTGCCCCACATCAGGTGCTTCCTTCCACTCACTGTCTAGGTTCCAGACACACAAATTGCTTCCAGTTCTGCAAACATAATCCTTCCTTCCCCAGATCCTTTGCCTGTGCTGTTCTCTCTGCCTGAGGGGCCAAAGGCATGCTGGGCAGAGGGAATCCTGCTGAAGGAAGCAGTGGGCGGCTTTGCTTATGGCAGAGCAAGGGACACAGTGAGACTGGAAGAGGTCAGTCAGATTGGGAAGGGTCACAAATCCCGGTGGGGGTGCGGTGGGGTCTGGTCATGTGTCACCAGGAAGTTCTCCTACCTCCCACTCCAGGAGCCTCTGCCTGAGCCAGAAGAGGGTTGCTCAGGGGACACATTGGCCTGGGGGCCTGGAGAGGACACTGGGGAGGGTAGCCCAGGAGGAAACATTTGTTACTAGAGGAGACCCAGGTGGCCAGGAGTCTACAGGTGGACTGGCAGCTGTTATTGCTCTAGGGAGAGGGCCACAAGAGATAAGGCTCCAGATTGAATGTGGCAGAGGTCCGGGCTGGGCTGGCAATAAGGGCCCAGGCCTGGGATGGGACACCCTAAAGTAGCAGACTCTGCCACCCATTCAATCCCAGGTCGGCTGAGGAACCACGTGGCTTCAAACCAGGCATCCTGAGCTCAGTTTTCACATCTGTGAAATGGGGAGAAGGATCCTGCCAAATCGAGCTTCTGAAGAGGCATCAGCATCATGGTTTCTGGTCCTCCTGAGGTGCCCATCTTTGTCCTGCTGCTCCAGCTAGCAGCCAAGCCCAGTGGGTGGGAAGAAAGGCAGGAAGGCATCCCCAGCCCAAATTCTGCCCCCTCCTCCAACACGCAGCCAGGGAGGCCTTCCATGCAGGCCCAAACTAGGCAGATTCTGTTCTCTCCCAGTCCCTGCATACCACCTCTGATGGCTCCCCGGGCTTCCAGGATAGAGGCGGAACTCCAAGGCGAGGTGTACACAGCCGGCGCTGGCTTGGGCCTGCATCCCCACCTAGCCAGCATTCCCTTCCACCTCAGCCCGCGGTGCCGCTGCCCTTCACCTTCCTCAGCTCAGTGCCGTGTCCCGGCTCCAGGCCTGGTGTCCTGCCTTCCTTTCCCACTGTGCTAATTTCTCTTTATTTTTCAAAACGCTATCCCAACCCAGCCCCAACCATGCCACTTCCAGGAAGCCTTCCCTGCTATTCCTCAGGTTGGGTAAGATGTCTCCCTCTGGCCTCCCTGTGGCACTTGGTAATTCTCTGGGTGACAGTTGTCACAAGAGGCATTGTGTCTATCACAGTGCCGAATGTACCCACAGCACTCAGCCCAGGGCTTGGCCCAAGCAGGCACTGGAAAGCACGCAGTGGACAAACACTGAAGAACAAGGACCAACTTCCAATTGTTCACAGAGAACTCATGCCCTTCAGGTGCTGGCTGGGCCAGGAAGTCACCCATGACCCCTCTGCATGGCACAAATTCCACAGACCAATCCAGGTCGTGGTGTCCTGGAGGGGTAAGCCCAGGGGTGGGGGAAGTCCTCTCTCACCTCGGTATGTCAGAGCTAGCCCCAAAGCTTGTCGGACGGAGCCCCCAAGGCTGCTCCCTAGTCGCACTGAGCTGTTGTCTGAGCCTTATGAGCAACTTTCACAAAGTGACTCAGCCACAGACTCCGGCCTGCCACCCAGGCTTGATGCGGAAGCAGCAGTGCGGCGTGTTCCTGAGTGTTTGGCAAACCTGCTGCTGGAGACCCCTCCCACCAGCCTCTCCTCTGCCCTTTTGGAAAGACTCACTCAGTAAACAGAGTAGCTCAAGAGCTGGGAAAAGGATGTTTTCCCTGATCGGGTTTGCTCCCTCTTAGCAAGCAAATGAGCTTGTTTTCTGCTTTACCCTGGCTGCCAGGAAGCTCAGAGCAAAGCTTTTTGCTGCTGCAGCTTCCCCTACCCTGGTGTCTCTGATTTAACTCTCCCCCAGCTTGGCTCTTTTCTCTTATTTTCATCCTCATCATCTTTGGTTTTATTCTCCTCCTGCTTTTTATTTGTAAGCCGAAGACTTTTGTCATTTGAAGAAGTAGGTGGAATAATTATAAATGGTTTTAAAGCGTGCTTTGCCTTTGCAGGAATTGGGTGGAATCTTTGGGGTGCCTAACCCTGGGGTGTGGACAGGAGAGGAGACCCTCAAACAGCCCAGGCTCCTGGAAAGAAACCCTGGCTTCCCTCCTGGGACGGGGGCCTCCCCTCTGTCTCCTTTGTCTTCCAGAGCCAACTTCTTTGCAAAGTGGTGATGAGACAGGCCTGTTTCTGAGCACAGGTGTGAAAATCAGACTGTGTCTTGCAAAGGGCCCCGAAGTTTGCTGAGAAGGTTGGGGAGTTGGCCTATAATGAACTTCTACTCAGGTCACTCTCTTTTTTTGAGTCAAAACTGGTGTTCACAGACCATGTAACCATACAGCAGAGTGAACCCTGCTCCCAGAGAATGTTCTCCCGTCCTGGGCCCCCGATTAGAGCAACATTTTAACTGGGTAGTTTAATATCTCTAGATCTCAGTTTTCCTGCTTGTAAAATGAAGGGACTAGACTAAAAGCTCTCTGTGGGCCTTACTGGCCACAGGCCTTTGAAGGGCTGATGGCAGAAGACTCTAATGTTACACGACACACTGTGTTCAAGGTGCAATTCCGAGGCCCTAGAATTTGGCCAGATGGAACCAGAGACGCCCACTCCCTGGGCTCATACCACCTCTCTTTATTTTAATGAGTGCAAGTACCTCTCCCCATGATGTTTCTGGCCCCACAGGTGGCCTTGTAGTTGCAGGGTGGCAGCCATCTGCATAGAGGGGGGCGGCATGGGGGATGGGCATTACTCCTCCCATCAGGACTACAGCTCCACAGACCAGCAGAAAATCTCTTTTCCCGGGGGCGCCTCTTGGTAATCCAGCTTGAGCTCTCTAGGATAAACACACAGACAGATAGGTGGTCAGCATGTCTCAGGTGTGGTGGGAAGAGAGGGAGACAGCTGGATGTAGGAACATGGAAGGTGGATGGTCTTGGGGCCCCTCCCCTCAGAGTTCCTGCCAGCACAGGCTGACAAAGGCTGGACACCCAAGGGGACCCAGTTGTATGTGGTCTCCAGGGTCCAGGGCTCTGAGAACCCAGGGGGTGCTCCTACTGCCCCCAGCTCACCCTAATGATCTCTGGGCTGTGTGTTTTCTGTGGGTCTGAGCTGATCTCCCTTTGTGGGGTTACTGAAAGCTGGGTCAGACTTGTCTAAGCCATGAATCTGTCACCTGACTGTCTAGTTCCCAGGCAGGGACAGAGGAGTCGGGGTCCCAGAGACCAGCTCCAAGTCCCCATCCCTGGTTGGGCTCAGTGGCCTATTGTGCTGAGTCACCTGGTAGCAGAGTGGTCACGCCCCTGAACCCTCAGGGTTCGCTTGCTGTCATCTGCTGCTGCTGGGGGCCCCCAGAACACGTCCTGGTAAAACTGGCCTGAGACATAAAGGGCAGGTCAGTGAAGAATAAAAACAGAGGGAGGCTGGGGGACACGCAGAGGTGAGGGCACTGCCTGTTCACAGGCAGAAGTGGCTTCTGAGGATGCTCTGAGCCCAGGCCATGGGCTGCATACCAAGGGTTCCATTGACACGGCTGGAGAAGCGGTCAGCATCCCGTAGAAGGAGTCGGAGCCCCTCCCCAGGGCCGTCCCAGGACAGCAGGCCGAAGGTCACCCTGTCTGGGCTGCTGAGCAGCAGGAGCCCTGCCTTGTCCATGGTCATCTTGAGGCTGTGGGGAAACCCGTGTCCTGAGTAGGAAGGGAGGCATGGAGACACCCACAGGGGACCTGGGCAGCGGGGTGGCAGTGGGCGGGGGCTGCCCTCCTGTCCTCAGGATTTCCTAGTGTGGCCTTTGGTGGGCAGTCCTTTAAATCTTCTGGGCTTCAGTTTCCTCAGTCAACTGGAACCAAAGTTAACTTACCGATACCTGGTTATCCCAGCATTATTTATAAAATAAAATAATAGTCCCTTTTCATCTAGTTTCTTACATTTGACTTCTCATGAATTAGTTTTTATACAACTTGAGGGTTCTCAGATACATTTCCTCTGTTCCTTCTGGTTGTATGGCTAGCCCCACTTTCTTCTGATGATTAGTGTTTAATTGTGTGTTTTAAGGCCAGGAAGGGCAAGTCCTTCTCAGTCTATGCCCTCCCTTTTTACTTAAAATCATCTTTGAAATTCTCACCATTTTGGTTTTCTTAGGAACGTTAGACTCCTTTAAGCACGTTGAATAAGGCCCTACTGTTACTCTGAGGTTATTAAAGAATGGAATTGCCCTAAACTTACACTGTCTTGTTGTTGACACAGTTCAACGTAAAAGCTGTGGTCTGTTTTTCTTTACATGTATCTTCTGTAGCTCATGAAAGTGTGTGGACTTTCTATCACCACGGTTGATAGGAATTCTTTATTCTATCCTCTAGTGTGTATGCCCCAATGCACAGAAATCCGATTGATCTTTGTGTATTTATCAGATAACAGGAAACTTGAAGATCTTTTATGAAATTGGGAGCTTTTCAGGTGAGCGCCTCAGATTCCCCAGGGGTGCACTCACATTATCAAGTGGAAACCAGTCTGCGGAGGAGCTGGGGGAGAGGGAGTGGACAAGGCTCTCCATACTTGGCACAGGCCGGGGGCTTGGAGGGCACTGATCAAAGACAGACAGGGTCCTCGGCCTCTCTCCTAGGCCCTTTGTGACACCCAGAGCTGGAGAGCTACCTCTGGAAGGCTCCATGGTGGGGCAACCCCACTGGAAGAGGTCACCATCCACCTCTACTCCCAGTTGCCTGGGATTGATGCCAGAGGGACACGTCTCTCCACATAAGAGCTTCAACAGTTGGTTAAGGATGACATTCGTAACTTTTCTTGGTGGACAGCACTCTCCAGCCTCTCACTATTGTCATGGTTACCTCACCACATAGTAAGTGCGTCTTCCCATGTGCCCAGTGGGCACCACACTGCCTATGGGCAAATGCTCCCAACCACATTCTCTCACTGGATCTTCCCCTCAGCCCTCCATCTCAGGGCTAGGATGATTATCCCTAGTTAGGAATGAGGAAACGGAGGCTCAGAGGGGCTAAGCGGCCTGCCTAGGGTCACGCAGGATTAGCAGCAGAGCAGCTTCAAACCACACAGTCCCCTGCACGGGACAGTGACCTGGGTTGGGTGAGGGCAGCCAGGTCCTCAGGACAATCCCTTGGCACCCTCCAGGGCAGGAGGGGTATGTGCAGGGTTCTCTGCACTTCTACCCCTCCTCTGGGCGTGGCCCACTGCAGAGGACTCATGCCCAGCCACTCCTTCCCCAGGCCCGTGGCATCACGTAACCATCGGCCCCCAACCTGCGGCTTACCCGGACATCACCGAGTACAGAGTTTCCTTCCACTTGTACGCAGAGCTTCTCCGGTTCCGAGTCACTACCACGTGCTCAGGGGATGCACGAACCTGCAGCTGGGGGTTCTTGAAGGTCACGTCAATCCACATGAACTTGGCCTTCCCCATCTCATAGTGGCCAGTCACCTCAACACCTGAGAGGGCCAGGAGCAGAGAGGTGGGAGCTGTGGCCTTGGCTGGGCACTGGCCTGAACAGGAGGTGCCCCCAGTTACATCCCCCAGAGCTGCTCTTCACCCACTCACCTCCCCGACCCCTTCCCTGGCACCCCTCACACTGCGGGCCTGCTTCCCATGGTCTTTCCACTCATCCCTTGGTTTCCTGTGGCTTTGGAGAGGCCCCCAAGTCCTCGGAGATGGCCACCTTCAGGTGAGCCCTCTGAGGAGGCAGGTCTTGTGTGAAGCCAGGAAACGTACGTAAAGCCCCTGTAGTGTGCCTGGCCCTGAGCTGGGTGTTGTGGCCAAGAGAGAGATGGAGAATCAGTGGCCTCAGGGAGCAAATAGACTGTGGGCCTGGCATGGTGAAGAGGGAGACCGTGTGGGTCTGGGGGGACCGAGGGGCCGTGGATGTTCGTGGACTCTAAGTGGCTCTGCAGGTGTGTATGTGTGAGCATCCCGAGGGTTGTGCGTCCCCACATCTGACCTGAGAGCTCAGATCAGCCAGGAAGACCCTCCTGGGGGTTGAGGGGCCAGTACACCTACCTCCTCCCCCCATGTTCCTCCTCCACACCCTCTACAGCCCACTTCAGGGCTTAGTGCTTCGGCCTACCCGTTCCTCTGCCTCATGGACCCCCACTTGCCTGCCAAGGCCCAGTCAACCCCATATGATCCTGGGCAGTCTCCCCTGCCCCTCGGACTGCTCTTATCTCCTCCTCTGTGCTCATGTCCACGGTGCTCTGGGCACTGACTACAGGCCACTGTGCTGCTCTGTACCCAGGTCTGTCTCCCCACCCCTGAAGTAAGGCATGTCTTGAGGGCAAGCCCACATCTGGTCACCCTGGGGTGCAGGCCACCCAGGCCTGCATACATGGTGCCCAGTGAAAGGTCTGTGGTGCAGATGTGTAAGTGCATGTGCCAGTGCTCAGGGGCGTGGCCATGCTACCACCTGGGACCAGGTCTGCCCGGGAGTCTTCGCAGGCAGGTGTCCTACTGTTGTCTCCGAGGTGGGAAGCTGGGGGTGTCTGGGTCTGAGCAGATGACGGGGTGTGCACCTCTCACCTTGGCCAGGGTCTGAGAGCAGGTTCAGAAGACCCTGAGAGTGCTTGAGGTCCACACAGAGCCGGTTCTCGCTCTGGCCAGGCAGAGGCAGGATGACGGAAGGAGCCTGGATGGGGGCTGAGACAGCAGGTGTGGTTTTAGGGGCAGGTAGAGCAGGTTAAGGGGCAAGGACAGGGAGGAGGCTGAAGGGGGCTGGCACTTACCTGGGGGTGGGGCTGTCGTGGTTGTTTCTGAAAGAAGAAAAAGTCTGGGTTTAGGCAGCCCCTTCCGGGGAGCAGTAGCGGGCTGAGGAGTGGAGCAGCAGAGGGTGTGGTTGGTTCTTTCTCCGCTGAGAAACCCACGCGGCAGGGCTGTAGAGCTCCTGGGGCTCTCCCCTCCCAGGCTCTCCCTACTACTACTACTGCGGGGGCTCTGGCCTGGGGGCACCTTTGATTCTTATATCCAGGTCACGAGATGCTTGGTCAGGAGCTGAGGTAGCTGATGACACTGAAGCTGAAATTAGTGCAGGAACAGCCAGAAACAGAAAGGGAGAAGGTAGTCAGGATTCAAAGCAATCGGCATGCCTGCCAGCCTTCACTGCCACCTGCCACCCACCGAGCTCCAACCCCATGATCCCTGCCTCACATGCACCCAATCTAGAAGAGCCTTTGCAAAGAGAGCTTTCAACCAGAAGAGCATGCTATTAGGGAAAACGCTGAGGAGACAGGATCTAGCATGGCTCTGCGGCTGTGTCCGAGTCCAGATTCGGAGATGAGAAACAGCTCAAGGGACTACTGTTGGCTTTGGGAAAGGAGGAAACCTTCCCTTTCTAGAACGTTCCATCCTGAGCCAGCCTACAGAGTGTAATGAAGCCAATTCAGTGAAAAAAAAGGGACGCAGTTCTCAACATCATGCCTTAGAGCAGCTCTCCCTGGTCTGTGCCTAGCCCTGTGGGTGGTGCTTAGGTCATCCAACTGCACAGGCAGGTGCATCTTGAGGAAACTAGACCCTCAGAGGATCAGAAAGAGGCTTACCTAATGCAATGTCTGGTAGCACTGCTCCCCAGGTCGTGTGGTGGGATGGATCAGGAAGATAAGGAGGATGAATAGGTCCAGGAGGTCCACGTTGTCTGAATCTCATTGGGAAGCCGGGTCCCTGCCCGAAAACTCCGGCTTTGGAAAAGTTAACACATGCAGTCTTTTCTCAAGCAGTGTTTTGGGTCCCCACAGCCAGGGCTCTGGGACCCACCCCAGGAGAGGGAGGCGGAGATGGCAGATGGCTCCCCTTCCCACACCCAGCACCCTGGGAGAAATTCACAGCTGGAACAATGGACCCTTCTTGAATGCCTCCCTGCTGGGATATGGGCACCCCCACCCCCGCTGGCAGTGCCCCTCAAACTACCTTGTCCTCTCCAGCCTCTTCTTTTAGAAAGGACAGGGTCTGCACCGCTGTCTCCTAATCAGACACAACTGAATTTGAGCCCCAGCCCCACCGTCAGTCAGGCGAGCCAGGGAAGTCATCCCCTGACAGTCTGTGGCAGGGTCAGGGTTCGCTCAGTATCCCCTTCCTCTACCCTCTCCTTTTTTGCTACCTGTTATTCTGGACATTCTGTCTCTCATGGAATGAGATCCAAAGAGAGCAGGACCTGGAAATCAGAGAGACCTGGGTTTGCTTCTTGGACATACCTTTCTGGGACCCCCAGGGGGATGGGGGCTGTGTCCCTGGTGCCCAGGACAGGGCCTGAGTGGCAGCCAGTCTGAATAAACAGGTAACTAAATGTACCCACGTGCTTAGGCAGATGACACTCCCTCCTGAGCAGGGCTGGGTTGGAGAGGCCCTGGCCAGCAACCTTATGGTCACTGTACTATAGGCCCTGGGTCAGCCAACAGTCACCCAGGCCAGTCTTAGAGGGTATTAGGCCCTTACCTGAGTAGACGTTCCTGCGTCTGCTTTCTGGATAAAACAAAGAGAGAGAGAGAGAGAGAGAGAGAGAGAGAGAGAGAGAGAGAGAGAGAGAGAGAGAGAGAGAGAGACACTGTCAGGGTGGTTTTGATATATTTGAAGTGCTTCTATTTAATCTTCTTCCCAACCCATACCACTACATAGGTACAGTGAATCTGGCGGGGTTAGGAGACCTGGACTCAGTTTCCTCATGAATGAAATGGGGCTCCTAAGAGTCTGTAGGAGGCAGGGGTGAGGTCTTGTGTGGGGTGTAGGGGAGGGATGGGGGAGAACGCTGGGTCAGAACTCTGCTGTCACACCCACCATTTTCCACAGGCTTCTCAGCAACTTCAGACTGTTCTTGGCCTTCGGGTTTGGTGATCACCATGGATGTGAGGGGGGTGACAAAGCTATAGTTGAGTGACAAGCTCAGAGCTCGGGCCTCAAGGGCCTGCTTCTCAGCATCTGACTTCGTCGAGACCCTGCAGGTGGAGGACACCAGTGGCTCTTCAGGTCCCTGGGTGCCCAGTCAGATTCTCTCTCCTTTCCAGACCCTTCTTGGAGGCTCCTGCTGAGAGTCTGGAGCTCAGACATGACACCACCACCCCGTCTCCATCTCTAGGAGATGCCCGTGCCAGCTGTGTCTGCCCCACCGAGGAAGGGCTTGGGGAGGTGCTGAGGGGCCCTTGAGGGTGTGCCCACCCACATTTGCTCAAGCAGTTGCTGGATGGTCAGGTACGCCCAGAGTCTCTCCATGAAGCTGTGGAAGATGTACTTGGGGCTCCGGAACGCCTCCTCCTGCTCTGCCACACTGGACTCTGTTACGAAGGTGATGTCCTCCAGGTTCTGGAAAGAGGGGCCCGGCCAGGACAGCAGCAGTGAAGGCCTGACATCTGCGCCTGGCCTGGCGCCGCCCTGCACTTCCACAAGAAACTTGGCTGGGGCAGCGCGGGCTGCAAGGACCATGTTTCCTTTGAGTAGAATGGAGGGTAGGGAGGGTGTTTAGGGGTGTGAGAGCCTCCAAGGATGATAAGGAGGTGGAAACAGACGGTAGCAAACTATCCTAGTGCAATACAGCGGGCGCAGAACCAGGAGTGGCAAGAATTTTGCCCTCTTCCAGGAGTATAGCTATTTGTTTGATGGTTTTTCTTAAACAAACTTTAAATAGACTAACACTCTTGGCCTTGTCCCTAGCAGCAATACCTGTGAAATCTTAGGTCTGGGGTTCGAATTATTTTTTAGAACACAGTAAAATCGATACATAAGTACTCAAACAAAGAGAGGTTTGCTGTGAACTACCCCAATTCACCTTGGGTTCCGCATGTTGGGAACCACTGGCCTCCAGGATAACTTCAGCTGCTACACTGTATGGAGTGTTCACATTGCTCGAGAACTTAATCCCCACTGCAGCTTTACAAGGTGGGTAAGGTGGCTTATTTCCATCCGTATACAGCAGGAAACTGAGGCACAGGGAGGGTAAGTGCTTTGCCCCAGGTCTCACCTCCGGGAGGTAGCAGACTGGTCAAAGGACATGCCCTGCCCAACATGACACTTGACTACTTCCCCTGAGACATGACCCTGGGTTCCCCCATGCCTGCTTGCCTTGCCCACCTGCCACACTCCCCACACGTGCTGCCTGCCTGCCATGCAAGCCTGGAACATTCCTATGTCTCTCCATCTGGCCTCTGCCACCTCCTACTCATCCCTCAGTCTCAGCTGAGCCTCCTCCAGGAAGCCCTCCCTGATCCCCAGGCCAGGTAGGGGTACCCAGTGCTGTTCCCCTGAGTCTTCGGGTTTATCTGCAGGGACATATCAGCCTGCAGCACCTTGTTTGTGTGACGATTTACCCACACCATCTCTCCCATGAAGGCAGTATCCCCAGGGCCTAAAGAAGTGCTGTTTCTCTTTGTGGAATGAGAGGGCCTCCTGTGGCACAGAGGCAGGGAACGCTGGGCAGGGACAGGGCATGAAATGGTGAGATGGGCTCTTGACTCGGCTGCAGTGGGGCCCAGGGCAAGACGCCTGCCCTGCCTGGATGTCAGTCTGCTCATCTGTCAAATGGGAGCAGCCCTTCCTGCCTGACGGCAACCTCAGAGGGCTGGTGTGAGGACTGGAGGGGATGCCAAGCACCTGGTGCCCTCGAGAACAGCAGCAGCAGCAGCACTGATTGACCTTTGAGCGCCTACTGCATGCTGGCCCTGCACAGGTGCTCTCAGAAAATCATGTCATCTTGTTGAATCTCCACTAGGAGCCAACATAGCGGGGACACATCATTGGCAAGTGGCAGAGGATACTCTGTAACTTGCTCAAGGTCAACTGGCTGGGGCCTGGCAGGCTGGGATTTGAACCCAGTCCTTCTGACTGCCTGCCCCTGCTACCCATCCCCTCCAGAAGCACTGGTCACACCTACCAGCTGCCCCCTGACTCTGGCGGAGAGTACATCAGGGCTCTGGTCCCGGAGCTTCCCAGCCACCACCAACTCGGAGCCTTTGAAGAACAACCGGAAGTGGTCCTGTGTGACGGCCTCCACAGCGTTGCTTGGATACTCGAAGGCCACTGACGTCAGCAGTGGGTTGGCCACCTCCTGGTAGAAGTCCTGCAGGGTAGGGGGGTGTCATGAGGGCCGGGCTGGGGTCTGCCCGCCTGTCTGTGCCATCCCTCACTCATGTAGCCCAGCAGGGAAACGTGGGCACCTGGAGCTGCAGGGCGGAGTCGGAGTCTTCATAGATGCGCCGGGCCAGGCCGCCATTGTCCAGTGCCAGCTTCTCCAGGAAGGCGTAGCTGACGTCGAAGCCAAAGCCCAGGCAGAAGAGGCTGTACTGACCATCGATGGCTTCCTGCACATTCTTCTGGATCCTTGAGGGGTTGGTCTCCCCTGGACTCCGTGGTTTGGGGAGGGGGTGAGAAAACAGTGATTTTGGTCAATGGATATTTCTGGAATCTCAGAGCCAGAGAGGTCTCAGCCACTTCCTTCCTAGCCCCAGGTCCCACAGCAAGCCGGGCTGGAGGTGCTGGCAGTGCCTCACCCACAGTGGGGTCACCGTCAGTGAGGAGGACGATGAGGGTGACGCTCCTTGCAGGCAGCAGCTCCTCTCGGTTGGCTCTTTCCAGCAGCTGCACGGCCATCAGCATCGCATCGTTTATATTGGTCCCTGAGGGAAACACACTCTCAGGGTGGCTCCCAGCCAGGTGCCCCAGACCGGGCTTGGTGCCCCAGAAGCCCCGGCCACGTGGGGCTGCAGAGGGCCTCACCTCCCTGGGCCTGGATGCCGGCAACGTAGCTCTTGGCCTCCTTCACATTCTCAGCTGAGGCTGGCACCAGCTGTGGCTTCCACTGGGTTGCTTCCCCACTGAAGCTGATGAGGTTGAACTGGTCGTAGGGGCGGAGGTCATCCAGGATCTTAAGTAGGGCTTCCTGAGTCTGGTCAGGGGAAGGGGACACAAGGTGGGTGTCTCAGTGGGGCCTCAGGTACCCTGGGGCTGCACCCTGGGGCTCATATCTGGAGTGGGGACGTGGTGAATGCTTCAGAGGCAGGTCCTGCCTCATAACTCTGACCACTTCAGAGTGAGGGGGAAATCCTTACCCATGAAGATGGAGGAGGGCAGGTCCGCCTGCTGGACCAGAGCTGACAGTGTCTGTATGTTTACGTCTGTATGTTTTCAGGACCCTGCCCTGGCCCACGGGACCCACCTGGTGTATTTTCCTGCCGCTCATGGAGCCACTCTTGTCAATGACAAAGATCACGTTCTTAGATAGCGTGGACAGGCCCTCAGGGGCAAAGTAGTGCACAAAGTAGCCATTCTCGATCTGTGACCAAAGTGAGATGCACAGGTATAAGAGCTTCAGCCCTGCCCTGACCCCAACCAGCCTCCTCACCCCCAGTCCTGGCGTTTCTATGCTCTCTTCACTCCAACCCCTCCACCCCTGTTCCCCTGCTAACCTGCCCAAATCCCTGCCATATTTTAGGGCTCAGTCCAGCCCTTCCCTTACAGAGAAGGCTTCCCTGCTCATGCATGGCCCACCAGAACTCTATGCCTACTTTACCTCCTATTTGTTTTCATATTTGAGGTAGCTCATACTAAAGGGTTCAGACATAATAAACCTGAGGTCCATCAAAAAAGTGAAGACTCCAAAAACAAGGTCCATCAAAAGATGCCAGAAACTTGTGTTAAAGAAGCTACTGCAATTGAGCATAAAACTGAATTGTGAGCCTCCTGGCAGCCGAAGCAACAAGGGAAACTCTGTAGCGCAGCTCTTCAGTAGAGATGAAATTTTTTGCTTCTGAAAGGGAATTGTTTCAGGGACGACACAACTAAACTGCCTATTTTCTGTGTTGCCCCTGGTGCACACCGATAACTAGGGGTGGTTATTTTGTCTTTTCTTTTAGAATAGGGCTAGGGCCTATTCTCTTCTATTCTATTCTAGAATAGAATAGGGCTCAGGCCCTTGAGGGTGGATGGATTTTTTGGTGGCCCTTCTCTTGCCTGGAGCCCACGCACCTGAATGGAACCCCCAGAGGAGGTCCGATTGACATCATAGCGGACGATGAAGTTGCCATTCAGGACTGTGTCCTGTTGCTCTGGAGATATTTGCTGCTGAGAGAGCGTCGGCTTGAATTGGATGTGAGCCTGGAAAAAAGACCAAGCTGAAGTTGGGAGGAGCAGTGAGGCAGTGCTAACAACACCCTTCATCCCCATCTGAAGAGAGAACGCCAGGATGCAGCCTTGGGTCAAATTCCAGGGAATTTTCTCTCAGGCTGAGCTGTCAGATAGACTGCCTCCCTGGAGGGCAGGGATTGTGAGTGAATCCCCTGCTCCTAGATCTGTGCAAGGAAGGGCTGGGCTCAGGATGTGATCCAGCCAGCTCCTCCTCCCTACCTGGTCCTGGGGCCCTCACATCAGTCTTCTCCCCTGATCTAAGGGTTCAAACCAGTACCCACCAGCCTTCCCTACACCTTGCCCTCCCTGTCTGCCAAATGACAACATGAACACAGGAACCTCACGAGTCCCTCCAGCTCAGAGATTCTGTCCAATAGTCCCACTCTCTGGAAATTCAGGCTCATAGGGCCAACCTGAAGACAGGCCCCTTGGAACCCTCAACCACAGACCATAAGCAGGCCCACCTTGGTCTGGTTCTGGAAGGTGGTGAGGGCCTTTGCCAGTTCATTGGTCATGAAGGTGCTCTCTGTCTCCAGAAAGCTGATGCCTTGAGGCTCGAAGATATGAACGTCCATCTAGAGGCAAGAAGTGGGTTACCGGGTCTGCTAGGCCTTGCCCTTACAGGAGGCATGGGGGAAGGAGGGACCGCCCTCAGCAGAGTGGGGTGATCTAGGAGGCCTTCTAAGAGGAGGCAGCACCAGGTACCTGCAGGTGCTTGACCAGCTGCTGAGGATGAATTTGCAGTAGCAGCTCGTATGCTCCTAGACGCCGTGACAGCAGCTCCTCGTACACCAGCTCGAAAGTGACCTTGGCAGCGGGAGCAACACTGACCGACACCTGGAACTTCTCTATCTTTCTTCCAGTGGCCCTGGGGGAAGAAGGCATCAGGCCTTCCCCTCAAGGGGAGGTATGGCCACTGGAGGTGGGAGCAAGGCTAAAGGGCTGAAGGCAGGGGCAACAGGGTCCCCCCTACCGCCTTGGGCTCACTGGACGAGGCCGGCGCTCTCTCCTCTGGACACGGCAGCGCTGTACTTCTTCTGGGCTACAGACTTCTCCTTGATGTTCCCTGGGTAGGTCACACCATCGATGATCCTGGGGCAGGAGGGACAGAGTTGTCGAGAGCCCGGTAGGGGAGGCCCACTGCAATCCTGCCTTCTCCTGGGAGCCTATCCGGAACTTTGTGTGCCTCTTGACAGAGTGACTCCTATCTCTACCTGAGCCCACCTGTTTATTACGCACCTGTGGACAGGGCTCTGTGTGGGGCTCCAGTGTGGGTGGGGTGCCACAGGCCTGCGTCTACCCCGAGCCACACACCATGTCGGTAAACATGCGTTTTACTAAACAGCTGGGATGGAGGCTGCAGAGGAGGCAGGGCTGAGCCAGGACCCAGCCTCTCTTCTCCCTCCCTGTCTGGACCCACATCCCATGGACTGTTCCCAGATGAACTGGTCAGTCACCAGGGAGGGCTTTCTGAGCCACATTCCATGCAGCCCTGTGCCCAGCTGTGAGGGGCAGGCTGAGGAGGAGGGAGATGCCGGCTCCCAGGCCAGGGGAGACACGGTGCTGAAAAGGCTCTGACTCCTCTCCTCTGAGGCTGCCCTTTCTTCCTGCCAACACGGGGCAAGCCCCTCTGCAGGGAGGTTGGCCTCTGGGGAAGGAGGTTTTGGACAACAGGTGGATGGGGCTTCTTGGGGCCCGGACACAATCCTAGCAGCCATTTTTGTGGGACTGAGAGAGAACTGCCTGGGCTGCTCCTTTGGAAGGAAATGACCACCCTAGAACCTCCTCATGGGGTGAGTAGGGATGCAGCAGGCTAACTGCTCCATCTAGGGTGGTGTGAGAGGATGAGAGTGTCCAGGAGTGGGTGGGGAGGGGGCAGCCAGGATGCCAGGACCGAATGTTCCTCCTCCCCACCTTCCTGAATTTCCTGGTCACAATTTAACTCTGGGCTGGGGATGGGGATGGGGCTGGTGCTGGGCTATAGCGCTCCTCCCCGCAGATGCCCAACTGGAGCTCCTGGCCAGGTCAAGGAGCAGGGCACCCTGCCCTCCGCTTCCCTGCCTCATGCAGCAGCAGGAGCTGGGCCCAGCTGGGCTCTCAGCAGATTCAACAGGCCCACAGCCTTGCAACTTGCTGGTTGTGGCACCCACATGGGAGGTGGGGTGCAGCCTGTGAAGCTCATGCTACAAGTTGGGCAGCACAGGCCTGGCTCTGGGGTGAAAAAAAGCAGGGCTGATGGAGAGGGGTGGGCAGAGAGATAAGGAGGAGGCAACCACAGGGACCCGGCCCCTGACGCAGGTTTTCAGAGGTCTCAGGGTACACTGGGAACTCTGCCCGAGATGCTCGCTCTCTGCGCAACTCGTGGCCTTCCCTAAGTTTCTGGGATCAGCCTCTCTGGCCTGTCCTCAACCACTGCCTCTCCTGTGGGGCCAGGGATGGACAGAGAGTTCTCTTGCATTTAGCAAACATTGCAAAACTGAGATGGGAGGGTGGGGGCGGACAGTAGAGGACAAGGTGAGGATCATCACTGGCTCACAGAGTCCACAGAAACCCCAGGGCCTCCTAATGCAGGCTCTGACCCAGAGCAGAACACCCCCCTGCAGTATCCCACTTGAGGGTGGGGGAACCAGCTGGCCTAGAATTTCTGTGACAAGGAGGTGGTCCCCCTCCTTGAGGCACTGCTTCATTGTAGGGCAGCTCAGGGGTTAGGAAGTTTCCTGTATTCTGAGCTAGAATCTGCCTTTTGGTGACTCTCTCCTGCCTGGGTTTGGCCTCAGGATGCTCCAAGTCTGTACTTCTCAAAGGCAAAGACCCAAACATGCCGCGGTTCTCTACCTGCCACCTGGGCAGCACTTAGGGATGGTGAATGAATGAATGGAGGGAGAGATGGATGGTGGGAGTGACCAGTGGAGGGAGGGAGGGAGGCAGGGAGGAAGGGACGCAGGGAGGGCAACATCTTTGAGAATTTCCTGGGTAAAACCTCTGTTCCCTGTACTGCCTACAGGTGGAGCACACATACCTCAGGCCTTTATTCCAAGAAGAGGCCCTCTTCCTGATTGGGGCACAGGGGCCACAGTGTCACAGTGCTGGGTTGGGGAGGAGGGACACGGGGGAAGGCAGGACACCTACATGGAGAAGTTGGTGATGAAGGCTTTCTTGGGCAGCTCCATCTGGAAGGTGGCCTCCTGCACAGTATCGGCCCTGTTGACCACCCGGCTGGTGACAACTGTGTGGGCAAATCGGGATGAGACCTTGGAGTCCACAGTGAGGCTGTAGATGTTGATGCCATTCTGGAACAGTGAAAGAAGAAGGAGTGGGGTTGTTCCAGTGCTCTTCAAGAGTGGGCCTTGACCCTGGCCCCCAACTCCAATCAAGCCACTGACCCGGCCTCAGGCAAAATCCCATGAACCATTTCACATGTGAATCCTCCACTTAAATCAGAAGCAGCTGTGTGCTTCATGCCCCACCCTACAGGGCCATAGTGCCCCTCGGAGAACAAGCAGGCAAGGGGTGTGGGGTGGTGCCTGTGCCCTGGTGTGTCTGTGGGGGACTCACTTATCCTTGGGGTAGAGGTGAGCGGCAGAGGGTCCTGTCGAATCAGGAAGCTTCCATGCCATCTCAGCTCTGCCCAGTGAAAGGGCAGTAAACAAGCCCTTTGTCTGGGAAAAACAGCTCCTGCCAGCCTTCCCCCAGGGGCCTGCAGGAGCTGGGAGAATTGGAGGCAGGGAGGGTCCATCTCTAAGGCTGGGCATCTTCCGCTTTGCCCCTTTTCCCCTGCAGCCGTGGGGCCTCCTCTGTTGCCCTGTCCATCCCCACGAGGCACTGCCCACCCCAAGCATGTGTACTTCGCCTGAGGTCTGCGGTCCCCAACGAAGGGCTGCGCACAGGCAGAGCCCACACTTCTGCTGCCTGTCTGCATATGGCACACTTGTGCTTAGCACGGAGGCTGCGTGGCGGGCCGAGTGGCTTGTGTACACGTGTGTCTGTTCTGTGCTGGGCCCTGTACTCAGCACTTTATAGCACTAGAGGTTTCATCTTCACCACAAACTTCTGAATGGTTCTATTATCACCCTGTTCTACAGATATGGAAACAGAGACATACAAAGCATCAGTAACTTCTGGGAACTCAAGAAGCCAGGGAGAGGTAAGCTGGGCTCCTAAGGCCACACACCCCACCTCCTGCCGCCCTTCAGGACAACCTGCTAGGCTGTATCTCCTCCCCAGTGAACTGGAAATAACAAGATCACCCTTCCAATAAATGGGGACACTCCACAAAGCCCTGAGGGTAGTGCCTGTTGGATGGGCAGCACACTTCTCTGTAGGCACACTGACCCGCGCTCACCTGCACTTACACACTTCTGCACACTGAGGCTCTCCTCCCCTTCACTCGCTCCCCAGCTTGCCCCACTCATGCTCAGGCGCGCGCACACACAGGTGCCCCAGACACTGCTACCTTTTGGGCTGTGGTAGTCTGGAGGATGGCCAGTAGTAGCGAGAGCAGGACCAGCACGATGTCCCAGGCGTGGACAGGGGCTGGAGTCTTCATTTTGGCTCCAGTGCCTGGCAGGTGGCTTCTGAACTTGAGAGGAAGTGGGGAATGAATTAGTAACTTGCTGGCTGCCCCGCCCCTCCGGGGGCAGGTTCTAGGAAACTGGAATCTGTAAGCCAAAACTCGCAGTGGCCTCAGATAAGGAGGCAAACTGTCAATGTCCTGTGGACCTTGGCTGGGGACAGGAATGTGTCCTGAGGAGAGGCAGGTCAGGTGGGAGGTGGATACTGGTACCCCTTCTGGAAGGTCCACTAGGCCACCACCACCCCTCACACCAGTCTGATGCCACCACATTCCCCAGGGTTTGGGGACACAGTGGTGAACCGGCCCATTTTCCATAAGCCCAGCCTGGGAGAAGCAGAGAGGTGGCCAGGAAGATGAGGGCCAGAGGGCGGCTTTTGGGAGGCAGAAGCCTGGAGGCCATGTCAGTGTGACCACATCAGTGGGGCCGCTGCAAAGAAACCAAACAGCCCTCGGGGGTGTCTGAGTGGGGCAGGAGCTGCTGGGGTCAAGGCAGGATGGATACACCTTATTTCTGAGGAGAGAGAGGTGGGGCCAAAGAGCCCCCTTTCTCTCTGCAGGGGCCCCTGGGCTGCTGTTCAGGACCCATTATTCTAGCCAGGACTCCTGGTGCAATTCCAGCAAGGCCTCCAAAACAAGACCTGCACTTGGCAACACAAACTGAGAGCCATAAAGATGCCCACATGTTGCGGCCCAGATCTCGCTCCAGGTAATTTCCTAAGAGGGAAGCTTGGAACAGAGAAAGAACAGAGCTTCGGGGTGTTGGCGCATATACCCAGGTGGCCTGTGTGGAGGTCAGTTGTGCCAGTGGAGCCTGTGAATCACTGCTTGAATGACAAAGGGCAGAATGCTGATCCGTCAGCACACTAAGGCAGTGGCAGTGTTGGAAGCAGACCCACGGGTGGCTGGAGGCCCTGGGGTGGGATGACTGATGACTTTTTCCAATTTTCCTTTAATAAAATTGAAAGCCTGCTTTCATAACAAATAGCAATAAAGTGAATAATTATTAGGGGATCTGGACGCAGCCGGTGCTTGTGTCCCTGTGGCTCTGGGAAAGCTTGTCTCCTGAGTCTGGGGCCACAGATGGGGTAAAGATGCTTCAGAAAAGTGGCCAGGTGCCAAATCCTGGGTCGGGGAAGGAGGACTCAGTGACACTAGCCAGGGGGTGGCCAGGGGCTAGGAGCTGGGGGCAGGTGCCATCCTCAGGGCCAACTTGGGGCCCTGGGGCAGCGACTGGCTGGCAACCGCCTGGGTCAACGCTAGCAGCATCTGCCCCAAGGGAAGGGAATCATAGACTCCAGAGCTGTGTCTGTGGCTGCAAGTAAACACTCCCCTTCCTGAGCATGACTACAGCCAGAAGCTGCATCTTTGCATGCATCTGCACTGCTCTCCAGTTGGCTCTGGGTGACTAGGACTACATGGGAGGACACACCCCTTCAGCACTCTTGGGGAGGAGCTTCCCAAGGAGCCCAGCGAGCAGGCCCAGGCCTTGTCCCCAGAGGCCTGCTCCCTTGGGGCACAGAGCACAGGCCCAGCCTGGAAACAGCTATATAAGGAGGCCGGGACTGTGGGAAGGGCTCTGTGCAGCCCACTCCACCTGCCCAGTGGAGTGGTGGAGCTCGCCTATAAGCTTCAGCCCTAAGCCAGGCCCTGCAATCCCAGACCCTGCCAGTCCAGCCCCGGACTGTCCTTGCTCTTGCTGTCACAGCTGGACAGGCTTCTGTGGCCCCCTTAGTCTGATGGCTCCATGCATACAGGGACATTGAGGCCTGAAGTGGAAGGGATCGAAGGTGAGCTGAGAAACTGGTGTTCACGTAGCTCAGGCAGAGCTGTGGGAATGGCAAGGGGAAGGCTCGCCCTGAGTTTGGGACAGGGGACAGAAGCTCAGGAAGCGGACTGCCACGGGCCAGAGAGGAGCCTCAACTTGGCTTTGTCTTTGAGGGGATGCAAGCTGGCAGGGAGGCAATATAAACAACGAGGAGGGAATTCTGAGGACCCTGAGTCCCACAGAGCCTTGGGGTCCCTGGACGCATGCCCATGGCTTCTGTGGAGGTGGGGGAGGGATGAGCCTCACTCTGAGCAATGTGACTATGGCTTGTTTTACCCAACAGGCTCCCCTGTCACATACAATGGGAAACTGGGGCTCAGAAAAGGAGGAGAGATGGTCTGAAGTCACACAGAAAGTCGGTGCCAGGTCTTCCCATTCAAAGCTCTTTCTAGTATTGTGACAGTGGCCGTAACAGCACCTGCATTATCCTCTGGGACCCCCGCAACAGCCACGAAGGGTAGAGAACATGCCCCACACCCACCCTGCCCTCCCCTCCCCTACATTTAGTGGCCTTGGCCAGTGACCAACCAACACCCTCCACACGCTGGAGCCACTCGGGCATCTGCTTTATTGGTGTTTCCCAGGTGCTGTGGGGGAGGGGTGGCAGCCCCAGATGCAGCAGGTGAGAAGGTACATTCTGGCATAAAAAAGAGTTCTTGGGAAAGGGTCCTGTGTCTGGGTGTGTCAGTGGTGGTGATGGGGGTGGCAGGCACTTCTCAGCCAAAGACGCTCTTGGCCGGTCCGGCTTTGGGCTTCTCAAAGACGGTCTCGGTGCCAGTCCGGGTGCGGCTGAACACCGACGGGGCGACAGAACCAGCTTGCTCTGTGGGGAGGATGGGGAGGAGGTGGGGTCAAGGGTGCGGCCTGGCTTCCTATGGAAGAAAGACCCCTTTTGTGGGAATACCCCGCTGAGCCCAGGAACTCGGCTCTTAGTAAAGGACCCAAGGGAATCCCCACCCCACTCCCTCCTATTGTGCTGCCCCCGCCCCCATTGTCCCAAGAACACTCACCACACTCCCGCATGACCTGGTAGGTCTTAGACTTGATCTCCTGGTTCTTGGCCAGGTTCCCTCGGGCCCCCTTCAAGTCTTCCTCCTTCACAGGGGGGCGTTTCTTCTTGATGGGGGCTTCCTGAATGCCAGCCTTGGAGAGCCCAGAGCTCACTTTACAACCTGAGGCCTGGAGGCTGAGAGTCCTTTCCCATTTTGTGCTTTGGCTCTGAGACCCCTCTTCCCTGCTCACTGAATTCAAGACAACTCAAAGCATTCCTCCTCCAAGAAGCCTTCCTTGCTGTACTTCACACCCACCACTGTGTCTCTACCCTTCTCCCACAGACTGGGAGTTCTGGGGCCATGGTCACTGCAACCTCACACCATCTGTCTGCCTGGCCAAGCTAAGGTCTGGGCGCAATGGGCAAAGGGGAAAGGGACTGGCTTTGAGGCTGAATTCCAAAGCTTTTTGTGAATTCCAATACCTTATCAATGGGTGGCACAAGGTCCATTCCTTAGGGACTGCCCCCTCCCTCGAGAATGCCAGTGTTTCCCTTGTGTGCTTTGGGGTGAAAATGGGATAGAGGAATCAGGTGCCCATGAAGTCACAGTCCAAAATCAGTACCCACCCATAGAGCAGGCAGCAAGGACAACCCTCCCTTTGGCAGGCTGGTGTGTCTGTCCCTCCAGGACTGGGGACATTCAGACTCAGTGCCTAACCTACCCCTCAACTCCCAGGAGCCTATGGGCTCCAGGCCTTAGCCCTGGGGGCAGGTGCAAGAACTCCCTGGTTCCTGAGCCTGGGCTCTGGGACAACACATTACATGCCCGCACAGAGATACAGCCTGCTGGGGAGATGCCAGGGTACAATTGTACACCTTCAGACCCAGGCTCACACGTACATACACACAAACACATGGCTACAAATATATACAACTCCACACACACAAAGGTCTTGAAGTACCACGCATTTTCCCTACCTCTCCTAACAATCCATGGAATACTACCGAACTTAAACTAACCAGGGATTCCTTAGGGTAAGCTGGGCCTCGGTTGTCCTCCCAGAGCCCTGCCCCTCCCAGGGAAGGCAGAGCCTCTTGTGTTTATGCCTGGAGCTCAGCTCACGACACAGCTGCCAGAGATGACAGTGTCCATCCTCCACTCCCGCCCCCTTGGCACCCGCCTGGCCTGTGCTGGGCCCTCCTACCTGGGACATGGTGGGTGCTGTGGACAGCCGCTTCCTGGCAGGCAGCAGCTGAGGACACGATCTGCGCGGCGCCTGGGCCTCTGGAGCTTATATAGTCCGCTTGCCTGTCCTGGGAAGTCACCCCCCTCCGCCAAAAGCTCCACGATGATTCAGATCCACGCAGCTGCTGGCTTCAGAGTTTATTCTTGGAGATGATGGGGGCTCACGGAGCACTGCTGCTTAGGGGGCTGTGGCCCTGGTGGAGGCAGACAGCTACGAGGACCCCGTACCCGCCAGAACAGCTGCTGACTTGCAGGTGGGAGGTGCTCGGACTGGCAGCGATGTGTTTATGAACAGAGGTCCTGTAATGTGTGTGTGGGTATCTGAGCTGTCCATCTGTGACAGTCCATCCCAGAGTGGGGGGGGTGTCCCCAAGGAAAGGGAGGGCCCTGAGCCAGGGTGGACAGCTCCAAGCTTGTTTTTCTTCCATCCCCTCCCTTGACTCCAGAGGAGACTTTCCAGCCCTGCACAGCAGCAGGGCAGAGGCTTCCTGTGCTGCTGGGGAGTGTATGCTCATGGCCAGCTTGCTGGGCCTTCAGTGGACTCAAGGACTGCCCCTGGCCCACAGGTGGAGAGACTGTGGCTGTATTTTTGCTGATGCCCTCACCTTCTGTCCGGCTCCCAGTGCAAGTTTAACAAAGGGGCAAAGGAGGAGGCAAAGTGCTCAGGAAGGGCTGGGAGGAAAGCAAGTGTTGTGGTTAGGATACCTGTGAGATGAAGGCAGGAAACAGCACAGAGCTGCCAACTGAGACAAGGTCACCGAAGGGCGCCTAGCCTGAGGACATTTAGGTGGTGAGAGGGAGGGCGAAAGTGAAGCCCACTCCAGGCACTGAGCTGTGGGTGGAGGGACAGGCTCCCTGAAGGTCAGTCAGCACTCCTCTGCTAGCTCCTAACACCCCATCCTTGAAGAGAAGGACCTCAGGGCACATGGCATCCACAGCCTGCGGCGGGTGTGGGAGTGGACGTGGGCAGAAGGTCAGGGCCAACTCCGCTGGATCAGACATGCCCAAGCTCCTTGTCAGTTTGTGATGGAGAGTATTTTTATCCTTGAAGGCTCCAGGCAGACAGAACCCAACCAGGCACTGACGCTGGGTTATCTGAAACGCCACTCCATTGCTGTCAGACCTCATCCTACCTCAACCACCCCCCCCCCCGCCCAGTCCTGGCCCCAGGAGGCCAACACGAGGCCTGCCAGGCTCCATCTGAGACAAGTGCTGACATGAGGAATGCCTTAGGAGAGCCGCGGGCACAAACCCAGGGCCCCGAACAGGGGCCAAGAGGCACTGAGGACAGGCCCGGCCTGTGAGGGCCCTGCTGCCGGCTCCCGGTGCTCCAGCTCTGCTCCACAGCCGCTCTGCCCAGCGAGGCTCCTGCCTTCCAGCAACATGGCCTCAGGAACAAGGATGTGGGGTGTTTACTCCCCACACTCCATCTCTCCAGCACCTCCTGCTCCTCAAGGGGAGGTAGAGTAGTTTTCACTTGAGTTAGCTGGGAAGTAGAAATGGCCAGAGTATGTTCGCATTTTTTCCCTTGGCAGATTTTGGCTCCCACATCTGCCTTGAGGCAATGCAAGTTTATTCTCACTGTTTTCTGGGGAGAACCTTCTAACTCACTGGGGACATCTTCTTCATCTCACTAAGCTTGGGTGCAACCCCACAGAACACACAACCAACAACCACAAAAGTGACGGTTTCTTTTTTAAAAAACTGTAATAAGATGTCAAACTTTATTGTAAACCATTTTACAATGTGAGTACATCGTCTTCCCTTCCATTCCAAAAATGTGTTTCTGTGCATCGTAACACCACTAACGAACCGCCCCCGTGGGGAGGGCAGTGGAAACAGGCCATGGTTTGCTCACATTGGTCTGACTTCTAATAAACTTCACAGGAGAAATCAAATTAAACCAACCCACCCACCCACTCAGGAGTTCAAGGTCCCTCCCCGAGAGTAAAGCCCTTCAGAGCTGCCTGTGTTCCACAGGATAAAGCAGAGAGCTCTCCACTCCTAGTTGGGAGCATGTGAAGCTACTAAAGGCAGCCCTGCACCCCAAAAGGTATTGCTCTGGCTGACAGCAGGTTCCCAGAGCCATTTACATTGGCCTGGCTGCAAAAAGGCCAGTGAAGTCCAGCCTGCTGCTTCCTCCAGGCTCCTGGGGCAGCCTTCAGATGGGACTCTGGGCTGCAGCCTCCAGGCCCACACTGCCTAGGGGAAGATACAATTGGATTTGAGCCTTTATATAGTTTCCCTTTAAAGGCATGACAGGGCAACACGAACCCATGATGCCTTGTTCCAGGTTAAAGCTTGAGGCAGGAGGCCCCCCTGTGTGCTGACTGATGGGCCACAGGCCTTCACATGGCAGGTCTTCGGGCTCAGTGGACCAAGAAGTCACTGCTGCCCAGGATCTCACCAACAACCTCCTTGCCACTGTCAACAATCTACTGGCAATGAAAGGAAAAAGGAGCAACCACGATCTCTTCATTCAGATACGGCAGTTCTACCTCACTGAGTTATTTCCATTAGTTACAAGAAACTTGTTCATGACCTTGACTTACAAGTTTCCATGATGGGTGGCTTGGCTGAGGCCCAGAGTTGGACAAATCAGTCAGATGGCACACAGTACCCAGCTGGTATTCTGTGGTTTCTCAAGCACAGTGATACTTGCCATGTGGCTGGGTGAGGAGCTGCCCCTCTTAAGGCACCTTGGAGCAGGTGGTGAGAAAACTCATCCCAGGGAGGGAGGACAGCTCAGAAGGAAGTCCTGACCATGGCCCTCTGCATCTGCTCTGTACTGGGACAGTGTACCACAGAAAAGCCCTCAGAAACTGCAGGAGCCACTCCTAGGGAATACAAACTCTGTGTGTGTGTTTGTGCGTGCATGTCAGGAGGAGGGTAAGGCCACACCCGTGAGGCCAGACCGTCCAGGCCCACACACCAATAAGGCCTTGTGTGATCAGACATCATCCATGCCCTATTGGTTAACTGCACAACTACGGCCCAGGAACCAAAGCCCTTAGAAAATCAGGATACAGGGAGAAACCATCACTCACTGGCTACTTCTTTGTTGCCGAAACCCACTACCCAGCAGGTGCCAAGACAAGCCTTGAGACGAGGAGATCCTCTGGGGTCTGCATAACCCAGTTTCCTGCCTTCACAGACAATGGCTCCCCTACACTGCAGGCCTTGGTTTGGAAACATTAGGAGCTCAAGACTGAAAGTGAAGCTCTGATTCTGGGCTCAGCGAGGTATAGGAAACAGCTGCAGCCACAGGTTGTTCAAAATGAAACAGGAGGGCAAAGTTAAGGTAAGTCAGTGATGCCTGTCATCCACCAGGACCCAAGTGACAGGGGCCTGTGCCCCTGGTCTTCATTGGTGGGAGCGGCCGAGGGTGGGGTAAGGGAAGAGCACAAAATGAGAGCATAAACAGGCTCCCATCTCACAAGCCGCCTTGCCTGGCCTGGCCTCGCCTCTCCCCTCCGGCTGCAGATGCCTAACCCAGCAGAGTCACCTCCCACAGCCGTTCAGGTCCCAGCTCCTCTCAGCACCCCTGCTTCTGGACTCCTTGAAGAAGATGGGCTGGGAAGACCTCCTCAAGGCTTGTGCCCTATGTCCCAGACAGGAGGGACTGCAGGAGGCAGCGGACAAACCCAGGGTGCCTGGTTCAACAGCATGGCTCACATGCCACAACTCAGACCCAATCTGCTTGAGTAGGACACCTTTTCCTGGAGGTCTAACAAGAAGGTTCTGGGTGGTGTGGCCTCCCTGCCCTGGTCTCACTTCCAGCTTGCACCTTAGTGGTACAGTTTTCTATTCCTAAACTTCCATGGCTGCCTCTGGGCTGGGACAAAACACTGGGCTGCTCCACCACAGCAGGGCAAGTCCCTGGGTCAGCCCTCTCCATGGCCGGGCAGTAGACTCCCAAAGTGACTGGGGCCTGTGCCCACGCTGAGGAATGGGAGTACAAGCTTAGATGCACCTCGTCCTGCCTATAGGCGCAGAGCGTGAGCTCTCTCACCTCCACCACCAGCCACCCCGCAACTTTGGAGGCTGTGAAAAACAGGATCACTTGGTCAGGAAGGCAATCTCTAGACTGTTGCCCAAAACAAGTCAATGACACTAGAATGACAGGCACTGGAGAGCCAGAGAGGAGGTCTCCGGAGTTGGGTTCAGAGCCCAGTTCTGAAGGCTGCACCAGTGGGAGGCGAGGAGGCCCAGGCTGCGTTTTAAACTCAGATTTGGAGGCTCTGAAGAGAGGCGGCGGGGAGGGGGACAAACAAGAGTGGCCTTGGAATGTCCATTTCTCCGGACTCAACAACGTCCTCTCACACTCCTTTCTTGGTCACATTTAACTAAGACTTCTAACCTGCCAGCAGAAATGCCAAGGAGCTGCTGGGTCCTGGGCAGGGCCCTTCCTGTTCCACACACACAAGGCCCCTGAATCTACATCCAGACCAGCTGCCTCCTGCTCAGGCCTGACCTTCGCGGAACCACTGGGTTTGCTGAGATCAGACAGGACCCATTTCCCTTCCTACCGGAATCATTTTACCTCATCTGATTACAGATTACCTAACAGTGTTCCAAATAAAAGACTCCCGACTTTTTCCTCCCACCAGTCCATGTCCCATGAAAGGCAAACAAACCCATTTATTTGGGGATTAAAAAGAGTTTTTAAATACAATAGTATGAAAATATAACTTAAAAATATAAAAGTCAACAGCATACGGAAGACTTAAAAATCTATGTTTTGCCATTAGTCCCATAGGAAATAAACACATACTCAAAAAACATTAACACTGTGACAGCTCATAAAACCTGCTATAGAAATCAATAGTTACAAAAGCCATTTTGATTAAGAAAGCGTCGCGGTTCCAACTTGGTCAATGAGTAACGTTTAGCCCCAAACACGTTATGTCTTCACACTCCCCCGAAAGGCAAGGCTCCACCCACTGGTTGTGTGCACAAGAGTTTTCCTCCTCGAGGCCACCCAGCAGGACGCAGGACGCAGGACAGGGATTCTGGGTCCCTCACAACACCGCTCAGACGACAACAAACAAACAACACGCCTCGCTTGCATATTTGGTCAGTGTTTGTAGTGCAACGTGGGGACCTCCAGCTGCCAAGGCCCGGCTGGCATCCTCCCTCGCAAGTCACAGCAGTCTGGGGGCAGGCGGAGACAGCGAGAGGAGAGGAGGTAGAAGGGGGCAGAGAGAGAAGGGGAGGAGGGACGCAGTGGAGCGACCCTCTGCCGACCCAACCCCGGTTTGGGAATGCGTCATACGGGCAGCCCGAAGCGGTGCTTCTTTTTCTTTGAGGGTTTAGGGGGGTTCGAGTCGTTCCCGGGG